ACACACGCACATACATGTTTGAGAGACTAGGAGAGAACAAGCACACGTCCCCACGTTCCCCCTTCTGCTGGTTCACTCTCCAAATTCCAGCAATATCAGTAATAAGCCAGACTGAAAACAGAAGTTAGGAACTCAGTCCAGTTCTCCGTCCTGGGGAGAGGAGGAAGCCGAGCCCTTGAATCGTCATCTGCTGCTTCCAGGGGTGCACACAAACAGGAAGCTGGAGTTGGGAGTTGGTGTGGATGGGGAGTGTGGACTCACTAATAAGGGTGTGCATGTCCCAGGCCATGTCTTTACTTCTGTGCCAAATGCCTGTCCCTATAAATCCCATTTAAACGAAACCACTAGTCACCTGAGCCCTGAATAGGCCCGGTTGGAGCCGTGCACTGTGTGGAAATGTCTCTAGTACTAGCTGCTGCTTTTAGTGCATATCCTCTTCTATTCTGTTAATTCATGATATTACATTATTTGGGATTTGTAAAAAGGACTGGCTGCTGAATTTCGCCAAGTAACTCTTGCAGAATCTGTAACTGGGAACATTTACTTCTTCTGCTCCTTCTGCTTCTTTTCCCCTTCGCGCCTTCTCTCCATCTCTCCCTCTCCATTTCTCCTTATCCCCCTCTCTCTCCATCTCTCCCTCTCCATTCTCTCCATTTCTCCATCTCTCCCTCGCCATCTTCTCCGTCTCTCCCTCTCCTTGTCCTCCTCCTCCTTCTTTCTTCTTCTTCATTTGATGGTGCTTTCAGAGCTACACAAGTAGCTGTTTATTTCACAAACCCCAGACCATCCAGTGCTTTCCAGACAGTTCTATCTCCCACGCGTGCCTTCATCGCTGAGCTGCTGTTCGGCACTGGGAGGCCGTTCTGTAGGTAGTACCTTGGTCCCTGCTGTCCTCTGCCCTGGGGTGTGAAGTATCACTGCCCCCCCCATCCCCTTTCTTGTCACAATCTGTAACAGCACCTGATTGCTCACACAGTATTTTTTTTTACTTGTCCAATTTTTATTTTTTAGGATTTATTTATTTTTTTGGAAAGTCAGATTTATAGAAAGAATGAGAGACAAAAAGAAAGATCTTCTATCTGCTGATTCAATACCCAAAAGGCTGTAACAGCCAAAGCTGACCCAATCTGAAGCCAGGAGCCAGGAATCAAAATTTTCTTCCAGGTCTCCCACACAGGTGCGGGGTCCCAAGGCTTTGGGCCATCCTCTGCTGCCTTCCCAGATCACAAGCAGGGAGCTGGATAGGAAATGGAGCAGCCAGAACAGACACGAACCAGTGTCCATATGAGTTTCCGGCATATGAAAAACAAAGACTTTAGCCATTAGGTTAATGCACCAGGCCCGACCTGTCCAATGTTTTGAAAAATATGAAATAATGTTTTAGCAATGTTATAATACAGTCTAATTTTTCATCTTCAGACAAAGCAAAGCTGTAGAGAGCAAAAGGTGCCACAAGGCATTCAACAGAGATCAAGGTGTCTGGCCACCCTTCTCACCCCTGATTCTTCCCCCTGGGGTACAAGGTGCTTTCTCCGGCATTGGTTTTTGTATTTCTGATCAATATGCTTATACTACTGGATTGTCTCCTACTCACATCACTGTCCATTAATTTCTTACTGGATATGAAGATGCCTCTTCCCAGTCCATCCTCATCACCCACACACCCAGGGACCAGCCTCCTACCATGCATTCTGGTTTACGTCTTGGCGCTCACAGTGGAATCCTTTAAGAAGCAGCGCTTCCTTGCTGCCTTGCCTGAAACAGCCATTTTCGCACTTTCCATTGCTTAGTTTTCTATCCATCAGCATTAACGCACCAGAGCAGCCACCACAAAACACCCCTGAGGCAACGCAGCTCATAAGCCAACCTAACATTCTGCTTGTTCCTCAGAGCTCTGCAGTGGGGGCTGCTGAGCCTGGGCCTCCTGGAGGTCCTGCTCTTCCAAGTTGCTTGGATGTAGCTTCCAGAGTCCTAGAAACCTGGGAGGTGATAGAGGGCCAAGGTCTTGTTGTTCGGAATTCAGACTTGGATAGGATCTTCTTGGCAAGGTGCTGCTGTGCCCAGCAGCCTGGCACTTCCTGGTATGCAGTACCAGCTTCTTAGCCTCCTACAGCTGTGGTGGCAGGTGCTGCTGTGCCCCCAGTTAGGGAACACACAGTCTTTCTAGTTTGGAAGCTGTCTGTACCCTTCTCGGTGCTGCCTTTCTATGTCATTTTTTGTGAGGTTTGAGAAGCCAAAGAGAGAATCCCACTGCAAACAGTGCACCTCTTAGGGACTGATTGTGTTAATAAGCACCTCACTCCCAGCCTGCCAGCCCCACACCCACTCCCTGCCCAAGACACTGTGGGCCACCCTTCTGCTGCTGCGAGCGTCCTCCTTGGTTCCTCTCTCAGCCACTGCCGTGTCAGTAGCATAAACCTCTCCAGTCTGTTTATAGCCTCACAGCTTCTAGCACATTCCTCGTACGTGGGTTGCAATAAGGGCACAAATAAAGGGAAGACTTTACTTAACAACCAGGGGCAGATGAGGATGACCAATGAAAACTTCAGCTACTTGAGCCAAACTGGATCCTGCTGTGATCAGAAGATGACCTGAAATGACACGCGCTTGACATCTTGCCATGAAGGCTTAAAGCAATTACTAGGACACACTTTGTCTCAAGCATGACTACAGCCTTTTTTAAAATAACTGGTCCTTAGGCATGACTATTATTAAAGCAGAAATTTGGTCGTTTTCTAGCGAAGAGAGTCGAGCTTCCAAACAGCCAGCAACAAGCCGTCAGATGTGGGTATTTTATAAGGTCTGCTGACCTTTTCCTTCGTGCCTGCGGGGTTTTCCCTGGAAGTCTGTACAGCATCACGTTCTTGTCTGTCTTCATGCCCCGCTGGGAGCCCAGCCCTGACGCATCTCACCATCCATCCTCTGCTTAGCGCCTGAGTTATTCACGTGGCCAGCCGGGCTCCCGCCTGGTGCTGCCACTTCAGTTGCCTGCTCGCCTCACCAGGGCTGTGTGCACCTGACGAGCCCTTTAGGCACACACCTGGGTCTTTTCAGCTTTATCTTATATTCAGCAACTCATTTGCAACATGTTTAAGGAAAACCAGCGTTTTCTTTAAAGGGGTAAAGGCATAATGTATGGGTTTATGTAACTGAATTTTCACAGTGAACATATTTTGGGTTTTATATTAAAAAAAAAAACATTTAGAAAGTGCTTTCTTCTGCAAACTGTGGAGTATGGCCAACTTTCAGAGACAGCGCCATGTTGCTGGAAGTCAAATGCTCCTGCATTCAAACCGGAAGTTTGGATACTGTCTATGATGCGTTTGTGCAACATTTGTGCAGGTATTGATGGCACAGAGGAAAGCCGTGGTTGCTTCTATGTTAGTTTTTGCTCAGGTGAGTGCGTTACTGGAATTTAAATAGCAAAGGTATGGATGGAAAGCGGGATGTATTGGTCAGAGTATTCAGCATTTCCACTAGAGCAGAGCTGTATGGCCTGGTAATTTTACTGCACAGTTCAGAGACCATTGTACAAGTAATAGCAACAGGATGTACATTTCAAAAGAATTTTAAAGTCTCTCACCACGAAGAAAAGAAGAAGTATTTTCGGTTATGGATATGCTTATTAGCCTGATTCGATCATCTCACAATACATACATATGTCAAGACACATTGTACTTGCCCGCATGGTGGGTGCTGGATCTGTGAGCCCTGGGGGAAGGGGGTTCTTGGGCCCACCTGCATGGTGGTTTCTAGGTCTGTGAGCCCCGGGAGGTGGGGGATCTGGTGGGGCCAAGATCACCTGGCCTGGGTCCTTAAGCCTGCCTGCAGAAACTCATCCTCTTCAGTGGAAAAGATGGAGCAGCAGACGGCTGGCCTTGATGCACATGGAGGAGATGGCAGTCCATTGGAGCCTGCAGAGGACATCTGGTACCATAGCCGAGAAAGGAGAACAGAGAAAATTGGACAACTACCACCCCAGCCAAATGATGATAGCAAAAACTGGGGCGAATGGAGACTCTAGGTCAACTATGTCAGCCAATGGATATTGGAAGGATTTCCTCGTCCTTGGATCAGCGAGAACAACAGCCTTTCAGAAATAGCAAAACCACACAGGCAGAATCCTTGGAGAGTGTGTCACATTGGGACCCTGCGTTGATATTGAGTGACCTTTCCCCACTCCCCAGTGCTGGAGCAGTGGGAGACTGTGCATGGCTTTTCCCTTTATCTTTTTGGTCCCCCCAGATACAGGAAAAAGAAATGGAAGATTTGGAAACAATAACCACACCCACTTTACCCTAACCCTTGATCCTTCCCACCCTGATCAACCATGTAAACATCATCAATTTTTTTTTAAATATTTAAAATAAACATACTGTACTCTATAAGTATATTAGTATTTATGTGTTTAAAGTAAAACTTGAGGAGCTGGCGCTGTGGCATAGCTCATAAAACCATGACCCACAATGCCAACATCCCATATGGGCACAGGCTCAACTCCTAGCTGCTCCACTTCCTGCCCAGCTCTCTACTGGGAAAGCAGTGGAGGATGATCCAAATGCTTGGGCTGTTGCCACCTGACAGTGGACCCAGAAGGCGTTTTAGTGTCCTGGCTGTGGCCTGACCTGCCTCCAGCTATTAAGGGCCATGTGGAGAATAATCCAGTAGATGGAAGATTCTGTCTCTTCTCTCTGTAACTTCTGCCTTTCAAATAAATACAATCTTTTTGTTTCTTAAAAAAAGATAAAATAGTCTTTAAAACTATGGCATGCCTTGAATTATTTGAATACTTGCCCTGACAGATCTGCTTATCTCTCCACAGCTAATTAAAATGATCACACAAGCTATATTCTCAGGCTTAGCGTTGGTACAAGTGTGTTTCACAGAAAAAGGAACCTGAGGGATTGTTTTTCTGTTTGCATAGCATTTCAACAAATGGGATCTTATCCCGCAAGCTGCATGTGTGTGCCTGGCTTTACCTACTCTGCCTCTCCCTGCAGCCTGCAGCGGTGTCTGGGACAACATCACGTGCTGGCGACCTGCGGACGTGGGAGAGACCGTCACGGTGCCCTGCCCAAAGGTGTTCAGCAATTTCTACAGCAAACCAGGTACTGTCTGTGGATGCTGGCTCCCTGGCCTTTCCCAGGCTACTTGCATCTGGAAATGTTGGCTCTGTGCACGAAGGTGGCAAGAGGCAGGACCATCGCTGTCCTTGACACCTCCTGCTGCTAGGTAGAGTCGGGGGAACAGCTGGGCTACGCAGGGGTGAGCACGGGGTTTTAAGGAGCAGGAGGATACCATGCACTTCAAAGCAAGTAGGAGAGAGTAGGACACCATGGAAGAGAACCCTGTGACAATCACTCGGGAGGAGAGACAGTGAAATCCAAGCACCCCAAGCATGGGCCAGGCGGGAGTAGGGGGGAGGAAAGGAGCCCAAGGAAGGCTCTGTTGGACTTTGTGAAGTCTCCCGAAGCTCACAGGGGACATCCCCAGGAGCGGAGTTTGAGGCCAGTGAAAGCAGCATGGCTTCCTGGAGACCTGACACCCTAAGGGAAGCCTCAGCCAGCAAGAGCAGCAGCAGCTACCGAGCTGACTTTATTATCCACTGCCCACCCCGTGTAACTAGACTAGTCTTACTGGAAATGTGCCGCTTGGGCACCCAGGATGCGCGCTCTCAAGTGAACTTGTACATCTCAGCTCATTGTGATTGTGGCTTTGTGGTTTTAAGTGATCTAGATTTCCTTAACGTGAAGATCTGTACTAGGAACATTGAAGATGCAGCAGGGAAAGAAGCCATGGAGAGCTCATCGGTGTCTTGGCAGAGGAGGCTGAAGGTGGACACTTGTTGTAAGACAATGCAATGCAGTCAACGCTGGGGAAAAGCAGAGGAGATTCAGAAACGAATATTTCATCTCACCCCTGAGTTCCTTCCTTATCCAGAAAGGCTGAAGGCTGTGTCAGGCCTGCCTTGGCATCCCCAGCCATCTGCAAGTTACCACCTGAGTTACTGCTGAGGGCCTGACCTTGGAAATTTATCCCTTCTGATCAGTTGCATTTCTGCTGAATGACTTGGGCTATTCCCCCTGGAAATTCCAAATGAATTGGCATGGACTCAAGCTTTTCCTGGTTGGACGTGTGGTTCCAAATGCTTCCAGAAAGTACACAGCAGCCTGGCAATTTTCACACTGGCAGACACCAGACCCACAGTTTCTGGACCGTCTGGCTGCGGCATTGAGCCTAGGCTCTGCCAGATGGGAAACATCTGGGTTTCCAGCCCCAGGTGTTCACTCCCAGTCTCCGCTTTGAACCAGTCATGGGCCCTCATTGGGAAAATTGGGAAAATTCAGTTTCCTGTCTGTTTGAGGTTAAATGCTTCTCACTTCTTTACGGTGATGGCGTTTGCGGAGTTTCCTTGCAACTGGGAAACTACAACTAGATAATCCAAAGCGTATTTGTTTCTGCTTTTTCAACTGACCACATATGTCATCTGTGAGGTGACAGTTACAGACTGTCATCAAATAGGAAGTTTGTCAGGTTATTCATGGAAGTTGTTGAATAAAAAGCAATGATGCGTGGATTTCAAAAAAAGGCTGCACCCAAATAAGCTTGTGTTTTGTAAAGAATTTATTTTTATTCAAAAGGCAGAGTTACAGAGCAGGAGAAACAGATAGGGCAGATGGAGGCAGGGGAGAGACAGAGACCCGAGAGAGACAGAGAGAGGAATCTTCTGTTGCTCTACTCCCCAAATGGGTGCAACAGTTAGAACCGGAGCTGAGCCAAAGGCAGAAGACAGGAGCTTCTGCCAAGTCTCCCACATAGGTGCAGGGACCCAAGCACTTGAGCCGTTGTCCACTGTTTCCCCCAGGCTATTAGTGAGGAGAAGCTAGATTGGAAATGTGGGAGCTGAGACATAAACTAATACCCATACGAAATACCAGCACCGCACAAAAAGGCTTGGCCTACCATACCACAGCACCAACCCCTAAAGTTAGCTTTGATAGCATCTTTTCATGAACCTTCTGGAGCATTCTTGTGTATCCCTGTCTGCATGGAGAGTCATCTCTGATGCAAGAAGATAGCAACTTTTGCAATGACTTAGCAGGCCTGTGTCTGAGCAGGGCTGGCATTGGCTTAGTGCTGCAGGGGCTGAGGCCTCAGAGGACACAGTTCTTCAGGGACAGGTTGGGATTCCTGAAATGAAATTACATGTGGGGCTTGGCCTCTGTGTGGTGCTTTCCAGTCTAATGCTGCTACACACTAGACAGCTGTTCCTCTTTCTCACAGAAGCTGCAGAGAAAACTGGATTATGGTACACGCTCAGGATGACCTCAGCCCACAAATGCAGGGATGCGAGGCTTAGACCTGTACTCTAGTAAAAACCCGTTTTCTCTCCAGCTCAGAAAAATGACGTATGGTGGCATAGTGACAGGTAGCGTGGTACATCGTCATGGCAACCAGTGCCTGGCACTTGCTCCACTGTCTTCATGCCCCAATGCAGTGGCAGCTTCTCCTCCAGATCCTACAGTGACTTTGTGGTGCTGGGACATGGCAGGTGTGTTCTCTCATGGCCTGGGCTGGACGCTGGGGTCTTTGGTCACTTTCTGCTCCCATCTTCTGCAGGATGCCGGGGAACCACTTGTGTGCAGAAAGAAAAGGGAGAGAAGGCAGAAGGAGGTGGGGGCAGACAGCACTGTATGGATGGCACCTACTTTTGATCCGGGAGGCAGTGTTCACAGCTCGGGTCTGTTATGCTCCTCACTGAACTTTCTGCCTTTGATGGAACTGCCCCATGGTGTCCATCTGCTAACCTGGCATGCAAGGCTGTGTCCACAACAGCTCCCCCCTACAAACATACACGGAGTGAGGGGCAGCTCCCAGGACTCCCAGGGGACCTCAGCGGAGGATATAGCAGACTTGCAGTGGTGGTGCCTGTCCCTCACCTCCACCATCCAATGTGGCATGGATTATGTGAGCCTGTCACCAACACAAAGTTAATAGGGTTTGCCCCCGATGCCCTGACTAATCAGAGCATGTGACCATGGAGGACACCATAGCATGAAGAAGTTGCAAGGTTTAGGGACCAGGAAACCTGACTCTCCAACTTGACGGTAACTGAACCTTCAGAACCTTCTTTTCTCCATCTCTTAAACGTGGAATTGAAGGGCCAATGGAATCTGCCTTTGCCCTGAAAAGAAAGAAGCCATCACACAGGAGAGGGCACGTGCTGACCTTAGACCTAGGGCAGCTGCTGCAGACATAGGTGCCAAGTCGGCTGGGCCAAGGGCAGGGAGTGTGCAAGACTCCCAGCACCACTGGCTCTACAGGGAGGGCTGCTCCGAGGTGTGGTTGGCTTGGGATAATGTAGCCTTTGTTCCCTTCCTTCCCGTACTGTCACTTACCATTCCTTGTTGTCTCCTGTTAGGGACACCTGCTAGGGACACATAATGTGGAACTTGATTATCACTGTGAATGATCTAGGGAGCAAACAATGGGATTGTATGATCATGGGTGCCTTTCGTTTATATATCCTTCAAATCTAAATTCCACAATCATTTTCTCCAGTATCAGTGAGCAAGTGGAGCCACCCTGTACCTCTTTCATGGGCTGTGAAAAGTGAAGAGCTGGCCTGGGGGAAGAAGCTGTGTGAAGCTGGGGGCTAGTAAGACAGACTCAGCCATCAGAGCTTGGGCATAGCTGTCTCATGGTAACAGAATATGAGAGTCTGTGTCAAGAATTGGCTCCTGCCACAGAACATCAATGCTTACATGTGCAATTACCCCCTTAAGATTACAACTTCTATCTTGGCATGACCTTACGGCACAGTGCACGCACTGGCCCCTCTCAGGCCCCGGCAGCACCCTGTAGTGTGTCTCTGGCCCAGTGAGAAGGCTGAGGAAGGACTTGCCGATGTCAGCCCTTGCTCCTTCTGATCGTGGGACTGAGAAGTGTTTTAAGGCAGCACCGGCTTCAGCATAGACAGAGTGCTGTTCTGAGCATCGCCTTTCAGGAATTTGCAGATGACATTTTTGAACTTTGCTTTCCAGGAAACATAAGCAAAAACTGTACAAGTGATGGCTGGTCAGAGATGTTTCCAGATTTCATAGATGCCTGTGGCTACAGTGACTCTGAGGATGAGAGCAAGGTAGGTCCCTGGCGTGGCCCCTCGTGATGTCACAATGCACTTCCCAGTACTGAAGGGCCGACGGCATCTGCCCCTCCCGCCAAGGGTGGACTACGTGTCCTCTACAGCTTCTCCAGATGAAAGCGAAATCTTGCTATTGATCCTTCTGTTCAGCGTTTGGCATTGGTGTTCTACTCCATCATTTTGGAGGCTGGGAAGCACAAGTGTCCTTGACCTGCTGTCCGTGTGTCTGGAAGATAGTAAAGAAACACCTGATGGTGGACGGGACAGGCTGAGACCAGCTTTCCACTGCATCCCGAGAGTTCTGAGCCCGAAGCCTGCAGCAGGTGTGACCAGAACTGGGGCAAGAAGTCAATAGAAGACATACAGATAGGCAGCAGTTCTTGAATCAATAGAACAGCAAGAGTACATCCAAGGAATACATGTTAGGATAACTTTTTGTTTCCACCTGTTGATTATTGTGAATGATGTTGCAATGAACATGGGAGTGCAAACGCCTCTTCCCCATACGGGTTTCAGTTCCTTTGACATAAACCCAGGAAAGAGAAGGCTGTTCCACCCACGTGTGAATCTTCCAAAGCCGTGTGTTGTGGTGGATGAGTGTGTGTTCTAGCTCCTTTGCATGTGTTCTGGCAGCCTTGCGTGGATATGAGCACCAATTCGACCTGCAAATGGGTGTGTGCAGACACATCTTCCTGAGCAGGTGTTAAGTGTGAGACTTGGGGCGGTTTTCTGGAGCCTGGGGAAGTGTGCACGCACACACACACACACACACACTCCTTCTGCAAGATCGTAAAATGCTACATGAGTTAATCTGCCCATGTAGCTGAGGCTCCCCTAGCTCATCTTGCTCTCCTGGCAGCGCTGCCCTCCCAGTCCCTAAGGGAGTGTGTGACATGGGTAGTGCAGCTTCTGCCTGGGACTGCCCCACATTCCTTTTTCTCTTCCCTGAGTGCTCTAATACAGGGCCAGATGTTTGTACCCAAATTATTGATTATTGGCTCATAAGGATGGCAGGGTTGATAGCAGTAGTCCTTTGTGCTGCTCACCTGGGCTTGATGAGACAGCTTATAGCCCAGATGGAGAAAATGGAAATTACAGAAGTGCTAAGGCCTACTACCCAGCTCACAGTGTAGCTGCGGCTGGGGCCTCATCTGTCTGGCTCCAGAGCAGTGCTGCTAGCTTTGACTCCTGCTGGAGCAGAAGGCCCCAGCCCTGGGTTGGGTTGCACCTGGGCGAGCAAGCCAGCCCAGGATGGTGCTGGCCCTTTTGGGACACACAGGAGGCCTTGGTAGGAGAGCCCTGGAGGGACATGCTGCCACAGGGCACCCAACACACCTGGGTGTCAGTGACCCTGGCTCCCACGCATGCCACTCTCAGCCCTGGAGGGATAGGGGCAGTTTACGGGGACGATGCTGCACCCAAACCTTCACCTCAGCTTTGAGGAGAGGGGAGCCTTGTGAACTCCCGGTCATGCATGCTGCTCTGGGCCAGTCCCTAGGTTCTGTTTCATGTGATGCCACATGGTAACACCTGCTCCAGGCTTCTGTGGGAAAGGGAGTTTCCTCTTAGGCCCTGATAGGAAGGATCTCATGAGGCACTGTGCAGCCCAGCGTGCCTTGTTCTGCCTCCTATTCCTGCTATGTGTAATCACAGGCATTAGTTATCCCCCCAAAAAGTGTGTTTAATGTTCTTGGTGGCTTGTCACTCTTTGGTTTGTAAGTGGGGCTCTGGGTGGCACCCATTCCTGCTGGGGCACAGGCAGAGCTGCCTCCGAGCCAACACACCATGAACTGGGATGTGGTGTGGTAAGTGCAGCAATGGAAATTAGGATTAATCAGCTCTACCCACACATGCCCAAAGACACATGGGAGGCTAGGAGGTGAGCCATGCAAGCCACCAGAACTGCACTGGTAGACAACAGTGTTGACAGCCTATTGCAAGCATGTTCCTCCTCGTGCCAGGCCAGGCCCTGTCCAGCAGGATGTGACTGGAGGCTCCTGTGTGCCACGCGTTCCTGACCCCTTGCCTGTCCCTAAATCCTTCGAGCGTCTGTTTGCATCCTACAGGTTTTGCAAGTTAGTCACATCCTGTTTTGCACATGGCGCAGGGACTGCCTCCCAGGTCAGCCTCAATGTGTTTAGTGCTGTCTACTTCTGTATTTCTCAGATCCCACAGATAAGGCCCAGCTGCTCCTACATGGGAAGGCTGGGCGTCCCCCCGGAAAAGCAGCGCAGTACAGCAGGAGCCCTGAGCCGGGCTGGAGTCTTCACTGGGGCCTGTGGCTTTGGTAGCCATCTCACTTTCAACCCCAGTTGACCCATTAAGAAAGTAGAGGACAGATGCTACCCCCCTCACATGCCTTTGCAGAGCCCAGTCCCTATCCCATCCATGTTGAGTATGAATGAAGAACATGTTTTGGGGTCTGGGAGAGGGGATGAGGGTGTGAGACACTGTGGGTTTCAGTTGCATAACTCCTGTGCAGTGATCTCATCTACTCAAAGCAGGAAAGTGTGCTTGGAATGAGAGTAAGGTGCTGACCGCTGGCCTGATCGTTGCTGCAGAAGGAAGAGTTCTTGAGCCCTGTCCTGAGGACCCTGGATTCTCAGTGGACCAGGGACAGCTTGCTGGATCTGAGGATGATGTCTCTGTTGCATCCTGCCTGTCTCACCATGGGAATCCCCTGGCCTGGTTCTGCTAAGAATGTGGCCAAATGTGTTTATGAGCTGCAGAGAAAGCCTCCATGAGCAGGAACCTCGGGGCTTCTGTGGACAGATGGTGGAGGTGCTGAGATCCCAGCGTCCATGGAGCCCAGATGCTGAGATCCCAGCATCCATGGAGCCCAGATGTTGAGATCCCAGCGTCCATGGAGCCCAGATGTTGAGATCCCAGCGTCCATGGAGCCCAGATGCTGAGGTCACCGTCCATGGAGCCCAGATGCTGAGATCCCAGCGTCCATGGAGCCCAGATGCTGAGATCCCAGCGTCCATGGAGCCCAGATGTTGAGATCCCAGCGTCCATGGAGCCCAGATGCTGAGATCCCAGCGTCCATGGAGCCCAGATGCTGAGCATGGGCACCATGTCTGTGGCTGGCACACATCTGTCGTTCACCTCAGGTGATCCTTGTGGGGTGTCAGGAACCATGCCAACAGTGGGCAGAGTCCTGGGGCCTCCATAGCAACGACTGACCAGGCTGCATGCTCAGGTCCCTGTAGAAGGTGTGGCCTGGTGTCCATTCATCCTTTCCCTCGTGCATCCATTGTTCAATCATTCCATGAAGGAACATTTCCTGTGGACCTCTGCTCTGAGCTAAATGTCCATGATGACAACTCAGCTGGCCTCAGAAGGCGCACATGACCCCGGCTTCTTTGACACCTCTTGGTCACAGCCCAGGAAGTATCCCTGGCATACTGCTTGGAAAACTCATCCCATTCTGTTGGGTGCTTCCGAAGGGCCCTGACCCAGTCCTGCCTGTATGAAGCCCAGGACATCTGTGAACCCTGAAGCTTTTCCATCTAGTTTGCCTAACACTTTCCCTGCTTATTTAAACATTTCAAAGATGCTGCAGATATCCTAAATGTAGATTCCTTGCTAATGGAAGGAAAGTGATGGCAAGAAACCAAAATGGCGGAGGGGAGACGCGAGTGCCTATTAAACTGGATCATAAAACAATAATATATAAAAGAAACCAAAATGAGTAGTTTTCCTTCCTGATTGTGTTTTCCACTCTTTAGATACTTTGAATATTTGGTTGTCTTGGAGACCAGCTTTGCAGATGAGGTGATGGCACACACTGCCAGGCAATGCCAGGACAGGTGGGCATGCAATTGCCCGAGTAGGGGCATCCATCTGCCTTGCGAGCACCGGTCAGCCTCCAGGGGAGTGGGCTGGGTTTCTCCCACACTCCCATGATGCATCTCTTCACCATCTCCTTCTCTGCAGATGTGTGCTTTGAATTGGATTTCCTGCACATTCACAGCCTCACTCTGCTCTGGGTGTAGTGTGTGCAGTCATTACTAGCTAGGAAATTCATTGAATCGAAGAAAAAAAAATGAACCTGCATAAAGCCTGGGGAGTTGAAGAGATGGAGTGCAGTCTGTAGAGAGGTGTAGATCTTCTGCAGGCTACAAGGTGCAAGCATCCTGAGTGACTGGGTCTTACTTCAGCCCAAAGGAGCCCTCACCTCAGGGCACAGTGGTGACCTCAGCCTTCAACGTTTGGGTTTCACACTTCCGCCAGTCCTGCAAATCCTGCAGTAGAATCTGCCATGCCAGGGACCACCCCCCACACCTTTTGTCACCAGTTTTCACATCCAAGCTCTTCATCCTTTATCCAAAACTGCTTTCATGCTTCATTCCATGGTGACCTTCATCTTACGCCTTTTATCTCTCAGTGCTTGAATGCAGGCAGGGATTTAAAGGAACATTAGCCTGCTGGGCAAACCTGATGGGTGGAACATGATGGTTGCTTGAAAAAGCAAAACAGGAGCCCCCATGATGACAAACAACTCAGGTGAACATGGCTGCATGATGTTGCAGGCATCCTGCACTAGGCAAGGCTGGCAATCATCACACACCTAGCTGTGTTTAGACTGCAGGTACACATGGGGCTCCAACAATCCTACCAGGATGTAGGTCCCAGCTCAGGGTCTGCAGTGGCACCTGAGATCCTGAATTTCCAGAAGATCCCCAGAGTTTTGGCCCTCTTCCACCAGCAGTCACTCATTGAGCACTGAGTCATTTTGGACAGAGTCTCCTTGCTCCAGAAACCTCCAACCTCTGGACTGGCTTCAATCACTACTTGGCTTCTTCAAAACCTCCCTTCGGGCCCACGCACTTGGGACTTAGGAGACTGGGAAGAACACTTCTTTTCAAAAGCCTGGGTGCTCCCACCCAAAACCCGACCGAAGTAGGGATTTGCCTTCAGTGGTTTTAAGATCGATTTAGGACAGAGCTAGTAGAGCAGAGAATTTTTAGGGATGTGGGCTCCTTTGCTGAGTT